ATTAGTTCTCCTTTTAATAATAAATTTATCAGGGGAAACCATTAAAATGTGGGATATTTTACCAGAGATTCCATAGATGTCAACTCTAAGGTGTCTAACACTGTACCGTCAGGCAACTCTGGGAGTATGTTACTGATACAGGAATTAAGTTCGATTAAGTTATTGGATGTGATAAATGATATTGTTATGCTATCACTCCTTTTTATCAAGAATTTGCCACCAGTCAAATAAGAGATGAATCTTGATCGTAAAAGCATAAATAAACAAACTCCTGCCGTCACAACAACAACCAGGGTAAACACTATAATGACTCTAATATTATATCCACCAGGTTCTTAATAATAAGCCTCAGATTAACTCATATTGAGGAGTAATCATACATTTCATAATTTCTTAACATAATAAAATTAGGAAACGTATTTACAAAGACAAGTAAAAGAACAAATAAAATACAAATAACCACAGCTTAAATTACCCTAAACTCTAGCCTCAGCCTTACCATACACTTGATCAGTAGAAAAGTATAACCACTTATCTCCATATACACAAATACGGAGTCTAAACCACCACACCTGGACCACACCCTCTCACCAGACAGGCTCGTCTCCCCCCTAACCAGCTGATACCATGCTACCAATTATCAAACTATTTTACCTAACTAATACACAACATAGGCTGATTTATTTAATACATACATCTTTAAAATTAATAAATATAACATATTAAACAATCATTACCTACAGGAACAAAGGAATATGGAATAGAGCCCTAACTACTGAGCAAGCAGTTTAATTACCTCGGTGCCACATAACAATATTGATGAAGTGTATCTATTTTAAGCGGTTCTTATATTTTTTTGCCTTGAATCTTTCATTTATTATTATTATAATTTTATTTTATCAGTTTCTTCATACATATCTTCTCTCTCAATCTATCTTCGTTATTTAAAGGGAATATCATCCAGTAGCCTCACGCAGTGTTGACTCTTCTTACCTACATCAACCATTCATGACGAGAGTTGGTGTTCAGTGTGTCGATGATGCATAAAAACTGCCTCTTGAGATAACACCGATGTGACTTTTGCCTGTTTAGTGGCCGCCTCACTGTCACTGCAGGTAGGAAGATTATCTTAGTGTTTCTTTTAGGAGTTGAAATTTAACTAGACAACTCGCCTCTACTATAGCGATTATATACAGCATGTTCATAGATAACTCAATCTGAAAGGTGAATTTTCGGATATTTTAGTAAAAGTTAGAAACTATTGCGTAGAAGAAAGCGAGAGAGAGAGAGAGAGATGAAACAGTGGATAACGGAGATTCAAACAGTGAGGAAGATGTTACTATGAATGAGGAGAACAAAACCTCCTCAAAACTTATATCTCCATCACCTGAATGAAGAAGAAAACAAAAGATTGAATCACGATAACAAGCGATCAGAACCCACTAAAGTGAACTTATAAACGACCGGGTTACCAGCACTGAAACTCTGGCCGCAGTTCACTCACGGATCATATTTCCGGTTAATTCCAGGCTTGTCTCGGGTAATAATTTACATATGATACTGTCAAGTGTAATCCATCGAACTCGTGTCTGACCATCAACAACAATAGTCACCAATACATCAAGCTATTATCAACTCCACACCCCCAACTGCACACCCTAATGGTAGACAGTCTTGTAGAATCAAAATCCACGAACAAAACGTCTTTTCAATATTGTTTTGACTGCGTGTACAACTTAAAAATCAGTTTAATGTTAGTCGTTAATTTTTTCTTGGACATTATTGTTATTCTGTTTTTTTTTATTATCTTTAGTGATCGAAGGTTTAAATTCAAGTGTAAGTTAAAGATAAAGGGAAGGGATTGTTGAGAAGTTAAGTTTGACAGAAGTACAGGGTATGTGTTGTGAAATGGAGAACACGGTTTTAAAGGAAGAAGAATTATACACGGAAATATTCTATGGCAATGGATGAGACAGAGATTTGGTGGACGAAAAATTGAAGTCCGTTTATACACACAATAACAAAAAATAACCCACTGAAAATCACCTTCGAAAAATTACAATTGGCAAAGTATTGGGATTGTAAAACGAATGAAATTTATTCAAGTCATTATGATAGTTACCTACATTACAACTTTTTACAGTAGATTTTTAAGCTGGGAGTTAAGGACTATTGAGAATCTGAATAAAGTCGTAATTTTTACCAACACGGGTTTTGGAGCGAGACACAAAAATACATACGATATAATGACAAAGAAAAACAAAACACTGGACATAGAAAATGGACGAAATAAAGACAAACAAAAAGACAAAAAGAGATAGAAAAAAGCGCACAAAAGAGCTGCTTGTGTACAGAGCACACCAAATATCGCGCTGGATCATTAGATACCGCCACCCCGAGTCAACACTGGCTATAGGCTGGCGAGATGACTGTGGTTTGTATCTAGGGGCTAAACCTCTCCTGTAGCCTAAAGAAGACCTTCGCCTCTAGAGTCTCAGCGGCCCCGGAGACGTGAGGTGGTGTACAGGATAGAGAGAATGGGGAGTGGGTAGATATATGTGGCACAGAATAGGGATGTAGAAGGTAATGTATTCATATTTAAGGATGATAATTAAAGAATATGTTTAGAATCGAGATATTTAACTTATCTATGGTGAAATTGGGGATATATTAGTTGGTAAAGAGAAAAGATGGTGTTAACGACAGGTGGTAATATTATGTGATGTTTTGAGAAAGCTCGCTCTCTCTCTCTCTCTCTCTCTCGATACACCCATCTTTAAATGACGTCACGTGGCACTGTTCCCGTTTAGTGGGTTTGGTGTCTTCCTACGCCTTCCCTTTATCGGAACGTTTCAGTTATTGGATTAGCTTTTAATTGGACTTCATTACTCCGGGTGCCTCAGATGGTGAATTAGCAAGTGATTGGGTACGAATTGTTGGCCTGGTCAAGATATATATTTTTTATTACCTGTTTTTTACCGATGTGATTGGTTTCCGAAGCTCAGAGTAGCTATGATTGGTAGTTTGATTGATTGTTGCGTGATTGTATTGATTGGAGTTGTTTGTTTGTTTGTTTGTTTATTTATTCAGATATTCGAAGATAGTGTTTCTATGTTAAATTGTTGATTGCAGTTGTTTCCTTAAATATTTCAGACGTTCAGACATGTTTTGATTCTATGGTGAATATTGAATCATTGACTGGAGTTCTTCCCTAAAGTTTTATTCGTGGAAAAATAACCCTCCAATTTGATGGTAAACTGATTATCGAATCATTCTCTTAACTGGTGTTCCGTCTTAACAATTAAGTTCCTGAAAATGTTACTGACTGAGGTCTGATAAAGTTACCTGTTTGTTAAGGTGATTTGGGATGATAACAACATGACTACCAGCAATTATTCCTCTTACGACTGTTACGTTAACTCTTCCTTGTGTTTGGTTATCGCCTAATATAACTGTTTACCATGTAACGTTTTCAAAGACTGGCTCAGATATCGGTAAACCAAAACCAACAAGTGAAATAACAACATAATTAATATAAACTATTTACAATGCACACAGGAAGCAATAATGACAACATAACTAAATCGGAAGTTTGCTCAGTTCGATAACTTGGCCGTTGACAAAACAAAACCTTCAATTAAATCAGTTACAATAAACAGCACTTAACCTACCTGGAGCAGGAACACTTATACGTGAAGACAGTTGACACAATACAAATAACAATGTACTTATCACTATGGAGGAGGAGGAGATGAGACCCACAGCCGGCTACCACTGTCCACAACCAGACTTCTTGGGTGGTTAACACAACACCAAACCTCTAATGAATGAGTCGCATTAAGACAGCCCAGTGTGGCGACTCTTGGCAGTCCTCACCACCTTTACACTTAACCAATAGATGGCGACTGTTGTATGACCACCTTTACTAGACAACAACTGCTTCTTCAACACTAAAATAGGAGCAAAGAGAAACGTAGAGAAACAAACAGATGTATAGACAAAAATATTAACTAGTAAACAAACGAATAATCACATAAGTAGATAGAGATAACTACTCAGAAGAACAGTCTAGCTAGAAACGTTCTATTTTGGGGGGAGAAAGAATCGATAATAATTTCATCTACATTGTGACTCCTAACCTGTGTTCCAAATTTTATAAGGGATCCAAAATCAGCAGCGAATATAAATGGTTCCAGTGGTTGTGAGAGGTTGGGAACCACTGCGTCGGCTAAAGCCAAAGATATAGAGATTCCTGAACGAAATCAGAGAAGCACGATTTCTATAGGCTAGGATTAGAGAAACTCAACTACTATTTGCTGGCTGAGAAGAAATAGGGACTTTTATTTGGGCATCGATTACATGTTGGGAGTTGTGAACTTTTGTTTTTTATTACTTCTTCTCTACTTTCTCTTTCTTGTTGTTTTTATAAGTCATTGTTTTGATAAATAAGAGTAAAGGGAGGATGAAAAGAGAATAAGAAATAAGAATGAGTGGTGGAGAAAGTGTAAGGGGGAGAGCAAGAGAGAGAGAGGGAAGGAGAGAAAGAGGTGGGAGAAGGAAGGAGGGAAGGAGAGAAGGAGGGAGTAAGGGCATGTCGGGCCTCTGTGTGTGTGTGGCTGTGGTCGGCTCCCCACACCGGCTCTATAGGAAGCCGGACACGTGCTACCGGCTAATGCCCGTCGAAAATTACATTCCTGGTCCCTGTTTAAGAGCCGAGGAGGAAGTTGGGCGGATGGAGGGAGAGAGGAGGGAGGGAGGGAGGAAAGGGAGACTGGCAATGAAAAGCAGGACTTATGGCATATGAGGGGCTGTACTGACGTTACTAAAAGCTCCCTTAATTTGTTTTCGATTTTGTTATGGACGTAGACACAGTAACACCACCACTGCGTCATTAGGCCAGGCAGCTGAAAACAGGTTACCAGACATTGGGTATAAAATATATTAAACAAAAATAACAGGAATAACATACAATATCCAGGAGGGAATGAGAGACACCGAGGTACAGTCTTCCATTTTATTCATAAAGAGAGGATACACGGAACACGAGGCTTAGGGGATAATACTCAGCGGAAACTTACAGGTAGTGATGTTTTTATTCTCTCACACACCTTTGCACACCTACACTCGCTACACCTTTGCTATGTACAAATCCATGTTACATTTTGTACACGTAGAGTAGTTCGCTATATGTAATACTATGTACAATATTTTTTCTAGGGCCCAGATTTTTTTTTTTTTATGTCTTGTTCTTGTCGACTGGATTTTCTCCTTTTTTGGGTCGTCTCGTGTGAAAGGGAGGGAGGGAGAGGGAGGGAAGGAGGGTCAGCTAGGGGGGAGGGAAGATACAGAGGTGAGAACGTCGACATACATACATACACACTTAAGTAACGAGAACGCTCACAGGAGAAAATCCAGCGAGGACTGAGTATAGTTTAATCCTACACCTAAAAGACAATATAAAGTAGAACTATACACACTCTGTATTAAATATAAAATCTAATCTTCCTGCAAAACAAAGCTTATATATTATTTATTTCCAAAAAACTATAGACTCTAGGAAACATATACAGTACAGCAAGCACCTTTGCAAGAGTGATAAATATGATACAGTGATCTTATTTTGTAGTGGTGTTATGGACACTTAATGGCTTGTGGGGGCTGAAGGGGCTAGTTGGTTAATGTTGAAATAATTTGAATTTTTTTTATCTTTTTTTGTTGGTTGCCTCAAATCCATGATCGTTATTGAGATGGCTGAGGTCTTGGTTGAGGAACACTGCATGTTCTTGAATGGACTAGATGTTCATAGTGGGGATGGCTAAAGCAGTATATTCTCACACCTGTAGGGGCTAAGGCAAGGTTAACCAGCATAATGTGCTTCTGGTTGTGAAATATTAGGCCTTGGTTGATGAACTCTGTCTGCCAATAGCTGATAAGGTTGAGGCTTTAGAATGCTCAGTGTCCTCCCGGGTGATGAGCTGAGACACCTTACACTATCAACACTATATTGTACATTGTCTGTGTGAGAAGAATGAATGACGTCTTTATTAATCCATCAAAATCTCTTCCGGGATTGACTTACATTAGTCAGAAGAGCATGAACACAGCGTAAAGAAAATGGTTTATGACGATGTATCTATCTAGCGAATAAATTAAAAGATTCATCTCGCCGAGTCTGAAAACAAATGGATAGTTTCCCCAGATAATGTGTGCCAGAGTTAGGAAGGCGCGATCAAGCAGTTTAAATACTCGGGTAAGGAGGCTTAAACCAGGCACTAAGCCTCACGTTCTGGACCAGCAAGGCTCCGTCATCTGAAACAATAAAGAAAGGCTTCTATGTATGTGATATATACAGTATATATTTATGTATATACAAAACCATATGTATCTCTCTTCTTACATGGTAACCAACTTACACTTAAAACAGTAAATTATCAAAATTTAAACAGTGCTACTTGTATTGCTACTTAACATCGTAGTTGACTAACACTTAAAGACAAACTACCATAAGTCACACAAAGCATCTTGTAGCAGATAACTCTCCTCACTCATGAACAAAAATCAAAGATAAATTAGTAACTTTTTCCTCACATATGAAACAAATGATAGACTCCTAACTCTTCATAGTACTACACCCACAGTCCTGGGTATGAAGTTAGAAATTAGAGTGGCAGATATTTTTCACACTTATAAAGTAAATATAGAAAAGAAATACAATGAAGATAAACAGTCAGTGGTAGTACTGTACAGCCTAGACTCCTGTGAGCCTCACACGGGTCATAACAGTGTCAACAAGGTCTTGGAATTTCAGATATTATTAATACCTGTATATTATGACAGGTTAAAATATTATTGTAAATTGGGTAGAATTTTACTTTGTTTATATTATTATGTAACATTTCATGGGTATTGGTGCCTCGTGTGTTGTTGTTGTTGTACACAGGGACGGAGTGTCATGAGGTCAGGTCTTGTGTCTACCAGTTCACTCCTCATTCACCAAGTTGTTGTTTGAACTAATAAATAAAATTTTATCTGATGCATAAACAGAACGTGTGGGACTGTTTTGATATTTTTTTTCCTGTTGTAACTATCATACTTAATAACTTGTCTGTTAAAATTTGTTCAGAGTTCGGTGTGTGTGTCTGTGTGTGTGTGTGTGTGTGTGTGTGTGTGTGTGTAAACAGCAAAAAACGTAGGGTAGATTTTTCTTAACGCCAAAGCACGCAGTTATTTATATACCAGAAGCGGACCCAAGATTTCATGTTAGCGGGAGGAGAGGGGTGGACGGCACTGTTTAAAGTGTCGAGCGTGTACGAGGCCTTCAATTAGGAGGGTGTAGTGGCCTCCCAGGACCTATTAGTTCGAGGGTACAAAGATGTCCAGCTACACGGAATGACCTAAAGTATTTTGGTTCCTTGACAAGTGAATTCAATGAGTGTAAATTAAAATTGGACGAGAATTAAGGCGCGCGCCATTTATACCCCTCTCTTGAACACAGCGATATATATATATATACATCATGAAAACAGACACAGTATTTACAGTGATCCAGAACTGTGTCCAGGTAATACATCAACCTGAAATGACATGTGCACGAAGTTGAGAAGCAAAGTGTTCCTAGTTTGTGTGTAATGTTCTTATTATTATATGCCTAATTGGTTTTACATTGTTCACACTGTTTGGTAATTACAGTGTCCCGAGAGTCTTGCCAGTCATTTCCCACACGGCAGTTGGTGTACTACAGGTCACTTACTACTCCGTGGTTCTGGCGGAGATACGGACTAGGAATATCACAGTCCTATCGGCGTGAAAAATAATTTTAATATAAAACGTTCATAATAAACTCGATTTACTAGACAGTAAATCGAACAAACTAGAATTGCGCTAAATGATCGTTTTGTGTTGTGTTCAGCTGGAATATTATGCATGTTGTAGTGAACATCAAGCGCTGGAGTAATTAAACCACTTCCCATTTTGAAGAGAAAAAAGTATTCTCACAGACTTTTTTCTTTATAATTACACTACAGGTTTTTTCGGACATCCTGGTTAAGGTCCTGATATATAAATTTATAAATCTGAATAAATTTTGTTAATTAATAACCCTTAAAATATTATCAGCCATTATTATTTTGCTATAAATCGGATCGTGGATGTTTAGACGCGATTTCTAGACGCGATTTTTATATATTATATAAATTAGAATGGAACTTTGGAGTCATTAAGCCCAAAACTTTTAACTTGGAAAAAAAAAATATCGGCGAAAAAAGTCAAACCTATTTTGTTTTTCGCCGAAATTCATCAAAAAACTGATTTTTTCCAAATTTCAATCTGCATATAATAACGTTTGTGACGCAGCAGCAGAAGACACAATATCTTAACGTGAGACTAACACAGACAACGGCTACAGTGAACTTATGTACATGAAGAACCACTTAGTTTGGACCGGCTATACGCAAGCTCTTGTGTCATGGGACTGTAGCGCCATCCTACGTTTCTGTCGCTAAGAAGAGAGATGTCGATGTAGCCAGGAGGCGGCTTAATCCTCAGGGTCGTGGAGTTGGTGCTTTAAGAGCTAATAAAGGAGGTAGGGTGAGTAACGTGTCGCCAAGTCTGACAAAAAATTCTCTGGAATAAATTTTGACAGCTAACGAGAGAGCGATATGGTGGACGTGTAAGACCTTAACGATAGAGGAACGTTGATTTTGTATGGAGTAAGACGAAGAAGTGAGTCTCAAAACAATATGATGGCTCTCTGCAGTTCATAGCGGCAAGACTGACCTTTGAGTATATGAAAGAAAACTCTGACTTTAATTTACATAAGGTAGCTAACCTAACCACGACATAAACCGGAACATTTGTCACGATCATTTAACAGGTTACCTAATATGACACAGTGACTGATAAAAATCTCGGCAATAAATCATTAAGCTCTTGTTAGTAATTACTTTTGGTTATTTCGATGACCTTCAAGGGGTATAAGATGGCTTAATCCTTCACCTGGACTACAATTCCCCCCCACCCCCCCTCGTTTAGGTGATGTGCACAGATCTCTATTCGTAACCTGATTTAGAATTGCAGCTCATCTTTGTAACCAACAGTAAAGCGAAAGATAGGAATGAGTCTCTTATTATTTGTACTGGGAATAATCATTGGAAAGCTACATATTCCCTTTCGTTCTCTCTCTCTCTCTCCCTCTCTCTCTCGCTTCTTTTCTCTCTTTGTTAAGTAAAAAAGAAAAATCCTCATACGTTTGTTACTCAGAATAATAAAAATAAAAACAATAGTATTAATTATAACAGTGTAAAGTTGTCATTATTTTTGTTGTTTTGGTCAACATCTCAGGTGACGTGCCGTTCAGTCAATAGATATAAAATAATATGGAAAAATAGTCTTAGACTCTTATAGGAGCTTATACCCAATTATTCTTTAAGTAGTTGTTGTACACACAGACATACACACACAGACATACACACACATATCACACACAGACATACACACAGACATACACACACATATCACACACAGACATACACACACATATATATATATATACAATTATATTAACATAATTATTAAGTATTTAGAACACGTACTGGGAATACCGACAGGATAGGGCATACACAGACGGCTGATAATAATGACTTAAGTAATACTGATGAGAGAGGATATGGAAGGTCTCTCACCGTCACACCAATATATACACACTATCATATACGGTAGGTTACCCTCGTCTTCCCTGGCGAGTGAGGGTCATAAGACGTTTTCGCATGGATTTCATTTCGTCTCACTAGAATTATTATCTTTGAAAGGGCTTGTAACAGAATCTGCCCAGTGCTTGTCTAGTTATCTCACTTAGTACTGGCCCCCAAGCTGAGCAGGGTGAAGAACGCCCGTCGTTCTATATATCACTTATGACTAACACAACAAACTTGTCTTTGTTCATTATGTAAAAAGAAAAAAAAAATCACACGCTAAAATATTTTCTGAACTATATAGCAAAACCTTAACATCAAATTATAGAACGACTAAAACAATGGTGAGTTAGATTTTACGTCATATGCAAACACACTCAGACACACACACACTTGACCCATTCACAACTACCTCAGCTATCTCTGACATACAAGAATCTTTTTGAAGGCTTTTCTAAACTCCGGGTTGAAGATGGTGTAGATGACAGGGTTGAGGAAGGAATTCATATAGCCTATCCAGGTAGTGAGCACGAAGATGGCCATCCCGGGCTCCAGGCTTGGGTTGTGGGTCTTCTTGCTGATGGCGTCTACGATGTTACACGTAAAGAAGGGCACCCAGCACACAAGGAAGGCACCTGTAGGAGGAGGACACAAGAGTTAATAGGCCCAAAACTAGCACAGGTGAACAGGTAAGTTAGTTTACTATGTATTTGTTAGATCTTAGTTTGATATGCAGGGAGTTGCATGGGTGGTGGGTTTTGGCTTGTGAAAAGGAGTAGATGTAATACGAGGCGTCGGAGGCACACACACACACACACACGCACACACACACACACACACACACACACACACACACACACACACACACACACACACACACACACACACACACACACACACACACACACACACACACACACACACACACACACACACACACACACACACACACACACACACACACACACACACACACACACACACACACACACACACACACACACACACACACACACACACACACACACACACACACACACACACACACACACACACACACACACACACACACACACACACACACACACACACACACACACACACACACACACACACACACACACACACACACACACACACACACACACACACACACACACACACACACACACACACACACACACACACACACACACACACACACACACACACACACACACACACACACACACACACACACACACACACACACACACACACACACACACACACACACACACACACACACACACACACACACACACACACACACACACACACACACACACCCTAGGGACAATAATCAACTAGCAATCACCCACTAAAAGAGAGAAGAAAAGGACCTATCGTACAAAACAGACACGACCCAACTGATCAACTCGACTCCTCACCGATCACTATATAATTCCATCAAATCGGACCACTGCCTGTCCTTTATACACCCAGTAGACGATCAATAAAACGAATCAGTAAATAATCCCAGTTCAGTTCACCATCAACCACCTAGCCAGTCCCTAACTCTAAAAGTCAACCGAATAAAAAAGAAAAAAGAATCATAGGTCAGTCAATTCTTACGGACGACCAATAAAGTTTTCAGGACCTCTTCCGCGAAATTAGTTTTATCTTCCGGGGATTTGCTAATTGGTGGGTAATCGTCCCAGGCTAGCGACGCTTAGGGTTTAACACCGCCTCTCTCCCCTCTTGGCACTCTTCCTCCTCCTCTTCCTCCTCTTCCTGCCTCTCTTCCTCCTCTTCCACATATTACCTGACTCCTACCTCCTCCTGCCTTTCCCTTCTTCTTTACTGCCTCCTATCTCGCCCTCAGTTCTTTTCCTGTTTGTAATCCATCGGTTCCCTTCCCCCATCCCTTCCTCCTTCCTTAGTTGATCTTCTTCCTGCTCTTCGTCCTACTTTTATTACATCTATAATTCCTCCATCAGCCTTCCTTCCTCCTCCTACGTCTACCAGAATCGTCCTCCTCCCCTTTCTCTTCCCCAAGCGTCATTCCTCTCTTTCCTCTTCCTTATTTACCACCGCCTCTCTACCAAACCCTGTCTCCTCTTTCCTTATTATTCCTCATCTTCTTCCTTCCCTATTCCTCATCTTCCTTCCTCAATTTTCATCCATTTTACTTTATTTATTCTCCCTTTCCTTCCCCATTCCTCCCTTAATTCTCCTTCTTCCTCTTCTTCTTCCTCATTTCTCCTCCTATTCTTTCATTCTCCTCCTCCATTTTTTCTGCCCTCACAATTCTCATCTCATAGTTTTTTCTGACTTTCATTACGTATTCTCCAGAGTTCCTGCGCCATATAAACTTCACATTCCTTTCCCATTGTTTCCCTCTCTAGTGTTCCTTTGATTTCCTTCCACGTTCATTGTTTCCTCTTCCTGTCTATTGTAAGTGTAATGACGTTTGTCTACGATGTCTTATCTATCTACAAAAATTATCACCGATTCTAGTTACTATTTCTTCCATGTCCGTCTCCCTCCCTCCTTTCTCGATCTTATTTTTATTTGGTTTTCTCCCATTTTGTCTTATATTATCTCTCTGTCTCACTCTTACCTAGTTTTTTCATTCTCTCTCTCTCTCTCTCTCTCTCTCTCTCTCTCTCTCTCTCTCTCTCATTCCTACCCAGTTCTCCCTCCCCCCTTCTCTCTCATTTCTACCTAGTTCTCTCGCATTTTGTCTTCTCTTCTCTCTCTCATTCTTAACTAGTTGTCATATTTATCGTCTCTTCCAGTTCTTCTACGTTGCCCTTCCCTCCATTTCATCACCCTAGCTTCCAAACATGACATTTATCGTCCCTCTTTCCATCACATCCTCCTCTTAAGTATTCATGTTGGTGTGTGATGAACCTTTAATGGCCATCTCTTCATTAACACATGTTTAAGTTTTAATAAATTTCCCTACCCACTACCCCTCATCTCAGTGTGTGTGTGTGTGTGTGTGTGTTGATAAAAACTATGAACTTTAGAGGTGTATACTATGAAGACGATTATTCCCAAGTGTTAATCCTGAACCAATGGAAAATGTTGTGTATTTATAAACAAAAAAAATGATATTGATGCAAAAAAAAAACAAGGAAAAGAAACAATGAAATCATCATAAAAGTAAAAAAGGAACTTAAATTTTTCTTCTCGATAAAAATTTCTGAAATATAATATAAAGTGTCCACGTCTCTGATACCATAGATACCTTCAGTAGACACCAGGGGGAGGTTAGAGGTCTGAGAAAAGTGTCGCTACACTGACCCAAAAATAAATGAAGAAGGACTACGACTGGCAGGAGTAACAAGAGACATATTGACAAGTGACTGAACAAGAAAATAAGGTTAATTTAATTCTGTAATTAAGGAAGAAGAAAATGAATCCGTATAATTAGGGATGAGAAGGGTAATGGTAGAGGTATTAATGGCTATAATTAAGGTGTAAAGAGGGCTCGGGGAAGTGTGTGTGTGTGTGTGTGTGTGTGTGTGTGTGTGTGTGTGTGTGTGTGTGTGTGTGTGTGTGTGTGTGTGTGTGTGTACTTGTCAATATACTTCTCTCTATCTCCTGTCTTGGTTCATGATAACGATCAATTTATTTTTTTGTTACCAAGTTAAATCATCAAAGTTCTCTCCTACAAAGTTCTCCCTTCTCTAAGTTGCTTCTTATTCACCTTCTCTTGTCTTTATAATTACCAAACATTATCTCTTGTCTCTCGTTCTTCCAACTAATGCATGTATTCTCTCTATCTCTCTCCCCCTCCCCTCCACACACACACTCTTCTCTCCCTTCCTTCTTCTTCTTGTTCCTTATACACACTTCAATCACTCCTCTTTCTCCACACCCCTCTTCTCCTCCCCCAACCTACTTTCTTCTCTACCGTCCTTTCTCTGATATATTCTCCCCCATCACTACCGCTTTCTCTGCTTGTGTGTGTGTATGTGCGCGCGTGTGTGTGTATGTGCGCGCGTGTGTGTGTATGTGCGCGCGTGTGTGTGTGTGTGTGTTTCTCTTTCCCTCACTTCTCGCGGCGGCGGTCATTCCCTCTCCAGTTCTATAATTACTTCATTTCCCCTCTCTCCATATTTGATAACTTTTGCTTTTCCCTTTTCCTCTTTAGCTTTCTCTTCATCCACTCTCCCCTCGTGCTTTGCTCCCCTCATTCTCGTGTCCTGGTCTTCCCCTCAGAGTGAACCATGGGTGGCTTGATCAAATAAGTCCGGACCACATCATCAATGAGAGAAACAGAATTAATTTGACACAAACAGAGAAGGAAATGAACTGTTTATTATTATAATTATTATCATTATTATTATTATTATTATTATTATTATTATTATTATTATTACTGTTATTATTATTATTAGTACGACTATCTTTTCTTATTTTCAGGAGTAGTAGTAGATATTAAGGTAATAAAATAGCGGCGAAGGTGTGGCTATTGGGGAAGGCTGGAGGCCACGATAAAAAAAAAAGTAGTAATAGTAGGATTTTTGATCCCATGGCCGCATGTCACCGTAACCTAGCTCTCGATGCTGCACATAGGAGGAACGAGAACGACAAGAGAAGAGCATATGGGGAGAGAACTCAAAACGTTGATCAAGGCAGCTTCACTCCTCTAGTGTTCACAACCTCTGGTGGGATGGGCCCAAGTGCAAGATGTTTCTACGCCAGACTCGCGGAGTTGATCTCCGAACAGAAGCAGCAGCCCAGAATTATGTTACAGCCTGGATGAGATGTCGACTGTCTTTCTCTCTCCTTCGGTCGGCTTTGCTCTGCCTCAGGGGAACGAGAGCTTCTGCCCATACTCCGACAACTGCTGCAGATATCGACTATGAGGCTACAGTCACTGAATGCCGCATAGGTCTGCGGCTCAACTAATTTAACACAGATAGGATAGCTTCTTATGTATTAGGATATTTAATATTAAGGTAAATAAATGGTGGCGAAGGTGTGGCTATTGGGGGAGGCTGGAGGCCACGGTTTGTAAAAAAAGAAAAAGAAAAAAAAGTAGTAGTAGTAGTAGTAGTAGTACAATTATCATCAATATCTTACCATTTATCTATTAATTTTCAACAATAATAAAAACAAAATCTGATTAATAATAATAATAATAAGAAAGATGAATGTAAATTTTTTGTTATATCACCCGACGTAGAGATAAGACACTCTCACACACCTTGTCTCCACCTGTATCCACACACCACCTGTACCGACACACACACCACCTGTACCCACACACCACCTGTACCCACACACCCCTGTATCCACACACACCCCCTGTACCCACACACACCTGTACCCCACCTGTACCCACACACACCACCTGTGCCCACACACCTGTGTACCCCACACCTGTGCCCCACACCTGTGCCCCACCCCTGTGCCCACACACCTGTGCCCACACCCTGTGCCACACCCTGTGCCCTACCTGTGCCCACCTGTGCCCACCACCTGTACCCACCTGTACCTGTTGCCCTTCTTCTTCTGTGCCCACACCCCTCATGCCACACTCAGCCTTTTACCAACACCCTATTTTACCTGTGCCCACCTACACACTTTTCCTGTGCCCACACACACCTGTACACCCCTGTACCCCACACCTGTGCCCACACACACACCCCTGTACTTTACACCCCCTGGCCACACACCCTGTGCCGACACCTGTACCCCACACACACACCCCTGTGCCCCTGTACCCCACCTGTACCATTACACCCCTGTGCCCACCACCTGTACCCCACACCCCTGTACCCCCCTGTACCCCACACACACACCTGTACCAGGCACACCCCCTGTGTACCCCACACACACACACCTGTGCCCCACCACCTGTGCCCCACACCACCTGTGCCAGACACCCCCCTGTGCCCCACACACACCTGTACCCCACACACCCCCTGTGCCCACACTGTACCCACACACACCACCTGTGCCAGCCACACCCCTGTACCCACACACCACCTGTGCCCCACCTGTACCTGTGCCCACCTGTACCCCACACCTGCCCACACACACCCCTGTGCCCACACACCTGTGCCCTGTGCCCCACACCCCTGTGCCCACACACACCTGTGCCCACACCCTGTACCCCACACCCCCTGTACCCCACACCCCCTGTGCCCACACACACACCTGTGCCCCACACCCCTGTGCCCACACCTGTACCCACACACCCCCTGTACCCACACACCACCTGTACCCACACACCACCACACGAATAAACACCCAGAGAGTATGTTTGTATGTGTGTGTTTATCTCAAGCCTCCAAACACTCACATCTGACGTCACATAATTATAACACAATGATTATATCAACAAATTACTTACCAGAAACATTAAGTATAATTGCGATATAATTCCATACACTATAACTACCAATACTGTGATAAATCAATAATAATTTGTATTTTTGCCTAATCTATCTATCTATCTGTCTATCCATTTATCCATCTATCCACCCATCCATCCATCTATCTAGCTTCTCTTTCTGTCACTTTCCTCTTTATGTCTGTTTTTCACTCTGTCTCTCTCTTCAACTTTCCTTTATACTTATCATTCTTCTTGATAAACTTGAATCCAGATGATGGTCATAGTCTTGGTTACCCTCTTCTCGTATGTCTGTCTGTCTGTCTGTCTGTATGTGTCTCTGTACCCAAATCGGCGCCTCCCATCTCCTTGACAAGAGAAATTTACTCTACTTTTACTCTTACGTTTACTCTTTTCCATTCTCTTTATCTCCCTACCTTTACTAACTCTTTTCTTTTTCTATTTCCTCTCCCTTTTGCTACCTAGTTCCACTTCCTCTCAATCCCTCTCTTTCCTACTTCCTCTTATTTTCTCCCTCTCTTCTCCCAACCTCTGCCACCACTTCCTCTTCCTTTCCCTAACTCTTCCACTTCATCTTCTCCCTCTTCTCACTACCTCTGCCACTTCCTCTCCCTTCCACTTCCTCTCCCTACCTCTCCCACTTCCTCTACCCATGCACTTCACTGTTAATCTTACCCAAAACAATAGCGAGTGTCTTGGTGGCTTTCCTCTCCTTCTTGGCGGAGGATTTTTCCCTCTTCTTCTTGCTGGCTTTGTTCACCTTGTAGATGGTGAAGCGGGCTGAAGAGGCCTTTTTGTCCTTCTTCTCCAAGAGCTCCCCGCTCTCTGCCGCGCGACTCGAGTTGGCAGCGGACCCGTTTCTCTTAGACTGGATCTGGGGAAGGGGAGAACGGACGTGTTAGTTAGTGGTAGGTTGGTAGTGGTGCAAGGATTCTAGTGGTAGGTGGTAGTGGTGTAAAGGTTCGATAGGTGGTGGTGTAAAGGTTCTAGTGGTAGTGGTGCAAAGGTGGTAGGTGGTGTAAAGGTTCTAGTGGTAGGTGGTAGTGGTGTAAAGGTTCGATAGGTGGTGGTGTAAAGGTTCTCGTGGTAGGTTGGTAGTGGTGCAAGGATTCTAGTGGTAGGTGGTAGTGGTGTAAAGGTTCGATAGGTGGTGGTGTAAAGGTTCTAGTGGTAGTGGTGCAAAGGTGGTAGGTGGTGTAAAGGTTCTAGTGGTAGGTGGTAGTGGTGTAAGGGTTCTAGTAGTGGCCAGAGGATGAGGTGTTAATGATGGTGATAGCAGTACAGTGGTTATCTTATTCCTATTGGCAGTAATACAACACCAGTCAACCACTCAATACAACGAGTACTGACGGAGGAAGCTACAAATCCTGACAGATTCCTACTGACTTAGAAGACGTTCCCGAATGTCAGGAATATCAGCCTCCTTTAATGGGCTACGTGAGGAAATCTGTCAGCAGAACGGACTGACATAAGGGACAGTTTATCGACAGCTTAAGGAGCTTCTCACTGATTGGAATAGCGAGCGAACCGGCAGTTTAACGACGGGAACAGTGCGATAAAACGCATACACCTGCTGAGACAGTACTGAAGGTTAGGTTAGGTTCGGTTAGGTTAGGGCTATAGTCAAAATAAACACGTTATATAAAATATTTACAGAATATACAGAATATATGGGTTTCAACAATACCATAACAGTCATATGATTTTCAATAAATTTTCTGTTTTGTCTTATTGGAAGCATAATGTATGTTCTAACCGTTAGACAATGAACCCTGCTGCCATATGGCATAAAAAAAATTGTGACCAAGTCCCAGGTTGCTTATCCGACTTTCTGCCTCATTCATACACAATTGCAGGGTCTCAATTGTTTCTCTTACTTTGACAACACAACATACATATATTGTTTCTCACTCTTGATCTTTTTTTTCTCTATGGTTCTTTATTATTATTATTATTATTATTATTATTATTATTATTATTATTATTATTATTATTATTAGTGTTATAATAATAATAATAAAAATTATTATTATTATTATTATTATTATTATTATTATGATTATTATTATTATTATTATTATTATTATTATTATTATTATTATTATTGTTATCATTATTATTTTATTGTTATTTTTAAATGTGTATTTTTTATTAAAAAATTTATTTACTATGAGTTATAATTATTATTGCATTTTCGCCTCTAGACCCCGATGTGGGTCAGTGACCTGTGCCCGGGTGGGTTAATACCCGTGTAAAAAAAATATATACAGTATATATATACAGTAGGTTGAGAGGGGGGAATATATATATATATATACAGTAGGTTGAGAGGGGGAAGGAGGCTACAAATGAAAAATAACCTTTGTTTGAGAAAGCAAGTCCAAACTGACTCACTCACTTCACTGCAATGAAGACAAAAGTTACAGTGTGTGTTTCCTCCTAAGCAGCGATGCTGTAGATCTTATACACACAGAGAGACTCGGAAACATGTACTGCTGAGGATGGGGGGGAGGGAGGTGGATGAGTGGCGAGGAGGAAGGGAAGTGGTGGATGAGTGTAGGAGGAGGGGGGGGGGCGAGGAGGGAAGGAGGGAGGAAGTTCGTGTAGGTCAGTTCTTTGTCTTCGTCTCTCTCTGTCTATCTCTCTATCTCTCTCTCACTCTCTTATCTCTCCCCATCCTCTCCTTTGCCTCGTCACCTCAGCGCCTGGGAGACCGTCGACAAGGTGACAAGGGACTGTTCACACGGCGGTCTTAGTCACCACAGTCTGAAAATGTTCTGGACACGAGCAGTTCAACCTAACCATCACTGAAGTCTTGAAACACGCTGAGGTTAGGTTAGGTTTTGATCGAGTAGTGGTTCCAGAAGTCAAGGGGAAGTCAATTTTGGTTTGAGAGGATACCTAAGGGGGCAGCTCTTAATATGGAGGAGGGTGGGTGGTGGTAGTGGTGGTGGTGGTGATGGTGGTGGTAGTGGTGATGGTAGTGGTGGTGGTAGTGGTGGTGGTGGTAGTGGTGGCAGTGGTGGTGGTAGGGTGACAGTAGGTGGTAGGTGGTGACGGTGGTAGTGGCGTGCGGTGGCAGTGGTGGTGGTAGTGGGTGACAGAGGTGGTGGTGGTAGGTGGCTGTAGTGGTGGTAGTAGTGGTGGTCGGTGGTGGTGTAGGGGATGGTAGGGTGTGGTGATGAGAAAAGTATGTAGGTAGAGGGTAGTGGTGGTGGGTAGTGGTGGTGGTAGGTAGTGGTGGTGGTAGTGGTGATGGTGGTGGTGGTGGTGATGGCAGTGGTGGTGGTAGTGGTAGTAGTGGTGGTAGTGGTAAGGGTAATTGTAATGGTGGTGTTGAACACAGGTCTAACAGCCACTATCTTAGACGAAGACAGACAGACAGACACACACAGACACACTATGCGACAACGGTAATCAACTATCCCCTTTTCCTTTCCAATAACAATACAATGGGAGCCTCTTGAACCAACAGGTGGTATCTTGGCAGCCAGAGAGCAAAGTCCACGAGACACACTGATGTTCCTGATACTTCTCAATAATCTGACGAATTATACCTCTTATTGACGGCCAGATAAACACTCAATGTGAAATACTTTAACCATAAGAAATTTAAACATAAACAGAAACATCTAAAAATCTGGAGCTCGGATACAAGCGTCTGATGAAGAAATATACAGAGATACGGTAACGCTAAGACGGGACGGGGGGGAGGGGCACTGTATTCAAAATGTCACCCGGATGTCATGTATTACGGAAAATCACCTAAAATGGTTATGTAGGTTTTCCTGGGCTTTACTTTCATGACCTAACAAGGAGGAAGGACTTCATTACATGGCGGAATCATTTGGGTCAGTGCCAGGAGCTGTAATGTAGGCGACTGTAGTTGGGAAAGTGTCATAAACTAACAAGGCTAAATGAACTTGCACTTTAGATTGTGGGGTTTCTGAATTAACTAATGGTTTCATGTTAGAGAACAGTGTAGTGTAGTGTAGTGTAGTGTAGTGTAGTGTAGTGTAGTGTAGTGTAGTGTAACTATTATAGGATACAACCTTCAATGTCTTTCATTTTTACTCGTAGGGCTTTATGCAGGGTCACAAATATGGGTTACCTTTCTCACGGTATTTCTTAGTCAGTTACTTTAAAGACGAGTAATTATGCTTAAATTTTACTGAGCTGTGTGTGTGTGTGTGTGTGTGTGTGTGTGTGTGTGTGTGTGTGTGTGTGTTTGTTTTGCAAAATGAAAAACAAAAAACAAAAACACTCGCAACATCCAAGGATTTTTATTTCAACTCCTACCTCACGAGTGCCTTAGGGTTTAAACACAAATAAAAAGTGTTGGGCAGGAATTCTACAAAGACCATTTGAATATCATATATCATGGTGTATCTTTGTGAGTATGAGCACACAGAAAATATAATATTCTCCGTATTCCCAGCGTCTCAGATGGCGTATTCAAAAGGCTCTTGGAGTGGGTGAACCTGTCGCCTCCCATAAGATTCCTCCTAAGACGGTGAAAACTTCGGTCATGTGAGAGTATGGTATCTGTTTCACCACACTGTGTTAGGTCATGGGTACAGCTGGTAACACAAAGATAGAATTGAGGTATACGATGGGATCTTTTTTCGTCTAGTTCTTGTTATGATAACCAACGAATATATCTAGTTTGTGTTGACCTCCAGTTTGTGTTGACCTCCAGTTTGTGTTGACCTCCAGTTTGTGTTGACCCCTAGTTTGTGTTGACCCCTAGTTTGTATTGACCCCTAGTTTGTGTTGACCCCTAGTTTGTGTTGACCTCCAGTTTGTATTGACCCCAGTTTGTGTTGACCCCAGTCCCCAGTTTGTGTTACCTCCAGTTTGTGTGTACCTCCAGTTTGTGTTGACCTCCAGTTGTGTTGACTCCAGTTTGTTGACCACCAGTTTGTGTTGACCTCTAGTTTGTGTTTACTGCCAGTTTGTGTTGACCCCTAGTTTGTGTTGACCTCTGTTTGTGTATACCTCCAGTTTGTGTTGACCTCAGTTTGTGTTGACCTCTAGTTTGTGATTACTGCCAGTTTGTGTTGACCTTCAGTTTGTGTGTACCTCCAGTTTGTGTTGACCTCCAGTTTGTGTTGACCTCCAGTTTGTGTTGTTTGTGTTGACCTCCAGTTTGTGTTGACCTCCTAGTTTGTGTTGACCTCCAGTTTGTGTTGACCTCCAGTTTGTGTTGACCTCCAGTTTGTATTGACCTCCAGTTTGTATTGACCTTCAGTTTGTGTTGACCTCTAGCATGCACTGACCTCCAATTTGTGTTAACCTCCAGTTTTACTTTGAATTGTTCAACATAACCAACGAAAACTCATACTGTGAGATGAGGAGGACTCACAGGTCCAAAACAGAGAAGCTAAATTACCGACTTTTTACTCTGGCAGCTTCAACTATCCCCATTGATGATGAGAATTCGAAAACAAAAAAACTTACAACTTCTGCTCAAATTGAAGTTAATTACTGTAGTGTGATGCTGGGATTACTTATAAGAAGAAAATCAAATATGGACTGATGAGGAGAAGTTGACAGATACACACACACATACTTTTATATCCACCACCTCTACCCTTCTCTTACCAAGGTATTTATCCACAACATCCCTGCCCATCACTCGTGCCCGTCATCCCTGTCCACTCGTGCCCGTCACCCCTGTCCATCACTCGTGCCCGTCACCCCTGTCTCCCATCTATCCCTTGCTGCCCCCGTGTCTCTAGTTCCTGCCCACGTCTTGATCTCTTACCTTAACTTTCTTCTGTTTGACGAGCAGCGCTTTTCTCGGCGACGCCTCTGGCTGCCCCGAGTTGCCCCCCTCCGCCCCCTTCACACCCTCCGCAGCGCCGTTCCTCGTCGACTGTACAGACGGCGACGCTCCCACATCTCCCAAAGACCTGAAGAAGTGAGACAGAGCGACACGGTGTTATAATGGTGAGTGCTGAAGGTGGAGAGGCAAAAGGTGGTGGAAGGAGAAGGAAGGAAGGAAGGAAGGAGAGTGTATGGGATAATAGGAGAGGGGAGATAAAGATGTTAAATGAAAGATGAAGGAATAATGAAGAGAAGTACAGGAGTGAAGGGGCTGGTTAGAGGAGTTGTTATTAAGAGCAACAAACCATGGAACATAAAGTGAGGGAGGAGTGTCTCAGTGAGGGAGAAGTGTGTGTCAGTGAGGGAGAAGAAGTGTCTCAGTGAGGGAGAAGAAGTGCCTCAGTGAGGGAGAAATGAATCAATATACTACAAACACATATATTACGAGTTGAAAATATTTTACCATATCTAGTTCTGGCTTCCGGCCACAAAAAAAAATACTACTACTAATAATAATAAGATAATAATAATAATCCAAGCCAAAAAAAAAGAGAAAAAAGAAAAAAAATTACATTAAAACAAAATTAGATAAAATAAAAACACAAAATAAAATATATCTGGGGAGTACAGGCAGTTGGGGGTATGATAAAGAAAAAAAAATCTTTATCTTCGTATTACCAAAATAATTCACCAATAAGAATACTGAGAGGAAGATAGTGTGGAGAGGTGTGGACGGGGAGAGGTGACGTGTGGGGAGGGGGTGTGGAAGTGGGGGGAGGTGGATGCATAAAGAGGTGACGGGGGTAGGTGACGGCGGGGGGTAGTGACGTATGGGGGTAGGTGTGGACGTATGGGGGAGGTGACGCAGGGGGAGGTGTGAATGCATGGGGGAGGATGTGTGGGGAGGTGTGGGGATGTGGGGGAGGGACGTGTGGAGGGGAGTGACGTGTGGGGGTAGGGACGTGTGGGGGAGGTACGTGGGGAGGTGACGTGGGGGAGGTGTGACGTATGGGGGAGGACATGGGGGGGAGGTGGACGGGGGAGGAGTATGAGGCGGTGATGGGTAGGACGTGGGGGATAAAGACGTGTGGAGGTAGGTGACGGGGGAGGACGTGAAAGACCGCGCCCGGGGAACCAGATAAAATTAGGTGGCCAAGCGCTGCATCCATAATAACCCACGGATGGACTAGCATGGGAGAGGCAGGCAACAGGGGAGGGAGACGACTGAGGGAGAGTGTGGGAGAGAGTGAGGGAGAGAGCGAGGGAGAGTGAGGGAGTAAGGGAGAGAGCGAGGGAGAGTGAGGGAGTAAGGGAAAGAGTGAGAGAGTGAGGGGGAAGGGAGAGTGGGTGTGAGAGAGTGAGGGAGAGAGTAACGGACAGAGTGAAGAAGTGAGTGAGGAATGAAGGGAGAGCGTAAGGAAGTGAGGGAGAATGCGAGGAAGAGAGAATTGACGAGAATAAGAAAATAGGGAGAAAGTAAGTTAGTGGGGGAGAAAGGGAGAGAATAAAGAAGCAAGAAAGGGAGAGGAAGCAGGAGAGAGAGAGAGAGAGAGAGAGAGAGAGAGAGAGAGAGAGAGAGAGAGAGAGATTCACAACTAACATCAATCTCCTCACGAGGTAACAAGTTCTCCGGTTGACGACACCTCAGCAACCAGCAACTTTGAGCTAGATAATTACATCATTACTGGCGCTAAGATCGGTTTTCCTTGCCCAGAATTGGACCCTCTGAGTGTACAGCTCAATTTGCTGATTGGAAAAGTCTACTTTGTGGATTAGCCGAGTCCTTTCTCCCAGTGATTATCAAGGTTGATCTGATTGTGGAGTGATTGTTTCTTATGACAGACAAACTAGGCTATATCTTTTCTAACTGTAAGTCATTATAATCTTGATAAGAGAGAGAGAGAGAGAGAGAGAGAGAGAGAGAGAGAGAGAGAGAGAGAGAGAGAGAGAGAGAGAGAGAGAGAGAGAGAGAGAGAGCAGGTAAACACACACACACACACACACACACTTCAAGGATTCTGACACTTACTCTTTTTCTCTCCTTTTTAGCGGCCCCAGGTTCAACTCCTCTGGTTTGGGGTTCTTGATAATGTGGCAGTTCTCCTCACCCCCAAGCCCCACCACATCGTCTCCATCCTCGTCCTCTTCGTCCTGTTAAAAAAAAAAAATAAATAATGACATGTAAAGGAAATTAAAATGACATCTAATTAAGGATATTACCTGGGAAGAGATTTAAATACACCTGTTAACACCTCATTAAGGACTGGTGGGGTGTTGGGGAGGAAGAGAAACAGAGGTTGGGAGGTGACGGCAGCAGGTGAGCTAATGGGTATTCTGGACACACGCTGAGGAGTGAAATTACATTGGTGAAGGGAAGTGTTTCTTTATCTTTCTTGTTTACGTGAGGAGAGAGGAAAAAGGGTGTTTTAAGTTGTTTGAGAGAGAAAAAAGGGTGTTTTAAGTTGATTGAGAGAGGAAAAAGGGTGTTTTAAGTTGATTGAGAGAGGAAAAAGTGTGTTTTAAGTGGTTTAAGAGAGGAAAAGAGGGAGTTTCAAGTTATTTGAGAGAGGAAAAAGGGTGTTTTAAGTTGTTTGAGAGAGGAAAATAATGTTTTAAGTTGTTTGAGAGAGGAAAAGAGTGTTTTAAGTTGTTTGAAAAAGGAAAAGGTGTTTTAAGTTGATTGAGAGAGGAAAAAGTGTGTTTTAAGTGGTTTAAGAGAGGAAAAGAGGGAGTTTTAAGTTGTTTTAGAGGAAAAAGATGTTTTAAGTTGTTTGAGAGAGGAAAATGTGTTTTATTTTGTTTGAAAGAGAAAAAGGTGTTTTAAGTTGTTTGAGAGAGGAAAAAGGGTGTTTAAAGTTGTTTGAGAGAGGAAAAGGTGTTTAAATTTGTTTGAAAGAGGAAAAGGTGTTTTAAGTTGATTGAGAGAGGAAAAATGGCGTTTTAAGTTGTTTGAGAGAGAAAAAGTGTGTTTTAAGTTGATTGAGAGAGAAAAAAGGTGTTTTAAGTTGTTTGAGAGAGGAAAAGGGTGTTTTAAGATGTTTGAGAGAGGAAAAAAGGGAGTTTTAAGTTGTTTGAGAGAGGAAAAAGGTGTTTGAAGTTGTTTGAGAGGAAAAAAGGGAGTTTTAAGTTGTTTGAGAGAAAAAAGATGTTTTAAGTTGTTTGAGAGAGGAAAAGGGTGTTTTAAGTTGTTTGAGAGAGGAAAAAGGATGTTTTAAATTGTTTGAGAGGAAAAAAGGTGTTTTAAGTTGTTCGAGAGATGAAAAAATGGTGTTTTAAATTGTTTTAGATATGAAAAAAGTGTTTTAAATTGTTTGAGAGTGGAATGACACTGGCGAGAACTGTTTCTGGGGGAGATATATGGATATTTAATGTTTTTTATTGACCTATTCTGCCGAGTAACCTGACCTAACCTAACCTAACCTGACCTGACCTAACCTAACCTAACCTAACCTAACCGTAGACTTATTATTGGGGCTCTGTGGAGGTGATGGTTTATGGTGGTGAAGGTTTATGGTGGTGAGATACAGTGCAGTCACCTACAAAACTCCTGTTGCCTCTTCTACCATTCCACGAACCCCAAAGATTCAGATTGGTGAACCCGAAGCAGTAGAATAGATAACACAATTCTTCAGCCCATGAATGCTTCGGATTCACTACATCTGTAACCTATAAAATCTCACCTTATGATTTACAAATTACTGATTTCTTTTTTTTTAAACCTTTTGGGTGATAAAATAATGAAAAAAAAACCACACCTCAGAATTCTTCCCTATGTATTTGCATTATTTACCTAGTCATGATGAGACCGGGAGGGGTGGAGGGTGGGGGGGACTTTAAGAAGGTGAAAGAGAGATGAGAGAGAGAGAGATATAAAGAGATAAGAGAAAGAGAGGAAGGAAACACAAGATAAGTGAGGATGAAGGAGGAATGGCCGGAGGAGAGTGTGTAATATAAGGAGAAGTGATGAAGGAGTAAGAAGGAAGAAGAAGGAGAAGGAGCAGAGAATAAGGAACTAGGATGTAGGATGAGTAAGAAGAAGTAAGAGCAAAAAGGATGAGAAAAAAGAAAGATTGTGTTAAAAAAAAGAACGAAGATGAATGCAAAACTGAGGAAGGATGATTAAGGAAGAGGTACAGGAGGAAGGGAGGGGAGGAGGAGGGGAGGGAGGGAGGGAGGGAGGGAGGAGGGAGGGAGGCAGAGGGGAGGAGGGGAGGAGGGAGGGAGGAGTCAGATTAGAGTGGAAGCTGCTGGTCGCTTACAGGCTTCAATCCTTGATTAAGAGTAAGAGAGGTAAGAACCCTTCTCTATCTCTCTCCCTCCCTCCTCCTCTGTTCTCCACCCTCCCCCCCACTCCCCCACTCCACGCTATCTTGCATTCCATCTCATGCTCACATTCCCTCCTCTTCCCTCCCCCTGACTCCATGCTCTCCCTTCACCCCCATGCCCTCAACTCTCTATCTCCCTTTCCATACTCCCTTCTCCCGCTTCCTCACCCAAGCTTGATAGAAACGACATGAAATTTTGCATATTTTTGGCTGGTGAAAAAGTCTCCTGTGATATATTAAAAAAAAGTCCATCTCTGCAGTAATTAAATTCCTTCCATAATACAAAAGTTATTTATATGGAGTTAAAAAAAATATATTGACTTGGAAAAAAAAAATGTTTCTTGAATTAACGTAATAATAAAAATGACTTACTGTTTATTGAGTTCTAATAAAAATAATAACACAATTACTAACAAAAAACCACATTAAATGGACATCAAGATTACACGAAATAACCCCCCCAAAAAAAAAAAAATAATAATAATAATAGTAATAATTTCCTCCAGTAACATTTAACAAGACACATTAAAACAGTTCAATTAATCTACATACAAACAGTTAATCATCATTAAAATCTTGCAACAGGAATTCTTTAACAAGAGTTACTGTTCCAATCGGACGGAAAACAGTAATAATTTCCTCCAGTAACATTTAACAAGACACATTAAAACAGTTCAATTAATCTACATACAAACAGTTAATCATCATTAAAATCTTGCAACAGGAATTCTTGGCAGGAGTTACTGAGACCAGGACGGAAGCACGAATGACGAGTATTACCACACATATTTCTGGTGGCGGCGATAGAGAGGATATTTAGGAAGGGCAGGAAAGGATATCTGGGTAGGATTAAGTGAACGGGGGGGGCGCTCCTACGGCTTCCATGACCGGGAGTTACTTTACTGTCATTATGAGAGAGATGAAAGATGAGAGAGAGGGAGAGATGATAAAAGATGAGAAAGATATGAGGGGAATCGGAGAAAGAGAGAGAAAGAAAGAAAATATGGAATTAGAGAGAGAAAGAAAAAATGGAATTAGAGAGAGAAAGGAAAGGAATCAGAGAAAGAGAGAAAAAGTAAGAGAATAATCTGGGAGTTGTTAGTTATAATGTCCTTACTGGCTGAAAGAGAGAGAGAGAGAGAGAGAGAGAGAGAGAGAGAGAGAGAGAGAGAGAGAGAGAGAACTCCTTACACCCACCTGACTATTGCTGGTATTATTAGTATTCTTATCTTCTTCAATTAGTGTCGACTTAGCAGGTGGCAAGTTGACCTCAGAACCTAGTGTAGTCTCCGCCAACATTCTCGTCTGGGCTACGTTTTCTATGACGCTGCCTGCTTTAATTTCACTCACTTTGGGTTTCTTCTTTCTTGCTCGTTCTTTCAGCGCCTGTAAACAAAACACACATAAAAATTAAGTTATTACTCTCAAAAGGACAATAGTATTTATAATGACGCTAACAATGGCTACTACACTCTTCATTTGTTGACCAGTCCTTGATGACAGACTGGACAAGTACTGAGTAGAGTAGGAGAATGTTACTTCAGACGAGTTGTGAAGAAATCTTATGGGATAAAAATTTTTTACTGCCTTTTATGTTTTCCATGGGGATATATTAATACGGTGCAATATAATGTAATCGTATATATTATATTTTATGTTAAGTTAGATGCCATACAAGGGGGGGGGGTGGTGGATACAAGGTGTGTGAGGATACAAGGTGTGTGAGGATACAAGGTGTGTGGGGTTACAAGGTGTGTGGGGATCCAAGGTGAGTCTGACAGGTAATGCATCAACTTAATATTAAATAGGACAGGTGAGCCTCAGTGTAGTTGGAGGTCAAGTGTTGATGGTAGCACTCAGGCTTAAAGAAGGAAGAAGAAAGAAAGAAAGAAAGAAGAAAGAAGAAAGACGAAGAACAGATAAGAAAGAAGAACAACAAGGATAACAAACAAGAACAAGAACAAGCAGAAGAAAAATGAAACAAAACAAATAAACAAAGACACAAAATGAAGAACCGACTTAAAAAAAAAATTCTGATAACAAAGGAAAAAAATAAAGGTTGGGAACAGAGCCACAGAGCGCCACACAGAGCCACACAGAGCCACAGAGAGCCACACAGAGCCACAGAGAGCCACAGAGCGCCACACAGAGCCACACAGAGCCACAGAGAGCCACACAGAGCCAGCAAAGGTTATTGGACGGATGAACACCTGAGAAGAAATGGATAATGAAGACTGATGTGACGGTATTAGCGAGTGTATACCTGTACTGTAGCTCCTAATTGAGTATACGACACCCAGGTAGATACTCCCCCGCCTGCCTTGTGGAGGGGTGTAGGGTGGTGATGGAGGGAGGTGGTGGGGTGGAGGGTGGTGGTGGTGGAGGGAGGTGATGGTGGAGGGAGGTTATGGTGGAGGGAGGTGGTGGTAAGGGAAGGAAGGTGATGGTTCTGTCTATCTGTCTATCTCTCTGTCTGTCTGTCTGTCTGTCTGTCTGTCTCACCATTCCACCTGACCAACTTTCCCCTTACCCAGCTTGTCACCGTCACATAATAACAACAATAAACTTGGCTTGGATTATTAGATTCGTTTTCTCTCTTGTGTGGCGGCGACGTAGCTTGACTAATACAAGTGTTCAGCTGGAAATCAATCGGGTGTCTTGTCTGGTCTGTGTACACCCTTGGCAAAATGTTATTGTGGTGGTGGTGGTGGTGAGAGGGCTGGGGGTTTGGGTGAGGGTGGTGAGGAAGAGTGGGTGGGTGATGGTGAGTGTGTGTGGGGAGGGGGGGGTGCGTGAGTGAGTGTGTGTGTGTGTGTGTGTGAGGTGTGTTGATACTCCCATGTGTGGATTAGCTCTTCTATATCTTATTCTGGATTTGTAATTTTTTTTTCAATCTTCATTTTCCTACTTTTTCTTTTTTCTTTGCAGATCGTCTTTTATCTTTTCTCCTTCATCTTCTGGTTCTTATCTCAATGTTTTCTTAATCCTCCTTCGCTCTTAATTCCTTCGTAAGTCTCTGTTTGGATTTCCCTGGTATTTTTCCTTCCACCTTTTTTATTCTCCTTTCCTGCATTTCCTTTTATCACTACTACCACCATCACCGTGGCGCCATCATTACGACAACTACCACCACCACCACTCTGACTAGCACCTCGCCACTATGCACTACCACAATCACCACTATACCAACCCCATCACTACACTATCAATACACTAACACCATCACCACTATCTTTTCAACCAAGAAACTAGAAGGGTCTAATGATTATATTCACACACACCTCGGGAAAGAGAGAGAGTGTGTG